GGTGTCGCAGTTGGCGCCAAAGTAGCCGTGGCGGCAGCGGCACTCGCTAGGCCGGACACACACCTCATTTTCCTTGCAGGTGAAGTTCCCCTCGCACACCGCTGGACGGATGGACAGACAGCGGGCGTGAGCACGAGCGTCACTGGGCTCATCCCTGCGCCCCCAGCCCTGCCCCCAGCCCCACAGAGCAGGGGAAAGGGAGCGTGGTGGCACTCTGGGTGCTACTGAGCTGTGGCACTGGGACTGTCCTTAGCAAGCAGCCAGGCAGGCTGGATAGGACCCTCACCAGAAAAATGCCACCAGCCTTCCTACCACCCTGTTCAGCTCATCCCTGCCACCAGCCTCCTGCCACCCAGCCCAACCCTGTCCCTGCCACCGGCTGCACCCACCAGCAATGTCCCTCACTCAGCTCCATACACGCCTCCCCACAGAGCAGTGGGGAGCCGCTTATGGACCACAGTGGTGTCACTGCCACCCCCACCAACGCCTCTCCCGTGCAGGGCCACCAACTCCTCTCCTGCCGAGGGGACCTTGCGCTGGGGCCAATGCCCAGAGCAGGGCAGGTGCAGGACATGGGGCAGGCAGCATCGCGGCACAGGCAAGTCCCGCATGGCCCTGGACAAGCCTCCTTAGCCACCAGGAGAAGGAGAACAGACCACCCATCCCATCCACCTTACCTGGGAGTTCTTAGACCTACGGTGATGGATACTATAGAAACCCCTAAAATAGACAGATTACACAGGTTAGGAGCAGTGAGTCTAAAGGTTAGAGCAGGTTGGGGGTGGGGCAAGGAGATGGGGACAGCTCACTGGTGGCACCATCCTCCCCCCGCTGTCCTGGCAGACCCTGTCCTTCTCCCTTCCTGCCGGCATGCTGAAGGGACTGTGTCCTGTTCCTGCCACGCAGGCACCCAACACATGCAGCGAGCGGTTACAAGGGCTCATGCATGGTGGGTTAGTTGGTTACGTGATCTTCGCCGCTGGCTGCAAAATGCCGACGCCCCGGGCAGGTGTGTAGAGCTCCTCCAGCTCTTCTGGAGCAAGGTGAGACCTGTGGCCAGCCAAGACTGTGGCGAGTAGCACAAGAACCCCAAAACAGCTGCCTGCATTGTGGTGGCAGTGCAGGGGATGAGAACTCTCAGGGCTTCATGCTGAGCATCCATGCTGGGCTCCCTGTGATCCCTGGCAAGAGCCGTAGCGCCTGGCATGGACCCCCCCACCTGCAGGCTCAGTGGCCCCTGCCTGACAGCCTGCCTGCCCCTGCAGCCTCTCCCCAGGGGCCACGACGGACATGTGCCTGCTCCTGGCAGCTTCTCCTCCACGGGTAGCTCTGGCTCAGCTCAGCTCCCCACGCTGCTGCAGCACCCCCACCTCTCTGGGTACCATCCCTGTAGCTGCACCTTCCCTATCCCCATGCTTCACCCTGGAGACACCTTGCTGACCCTTGGGTCCCAGAGCAGCATCCCTATATCCTTAGACTCAAAGCTGCCTGGCACGGAGAGAAACGCGCCCAGGCTGGGAGCAGGGGTGATGCTCCCCACGGAAGAGTCCACTGGGGGCTGAGGCACCCCAGGGCATCACTGTGGGGGCAGGGTGTACCCCGGGGCTGGGCCCTGTGACCAGCACCCCAACTCTGGGGCCACGCACCTATTCCATCCAGGAATGACTGCAGGCAGAAGTCCCTGGGACGGGGGTCCCCACCGCAGGGGACATCAGGGTGGCCCCTGACAGCAATGGTGAGGCCAGGAGGGCTCAGCAAAGGATGGGCAGATGAGCAGGGTTCAAAGCAAAATGCTGGTGCTTACCTATTAAACACTCGCTTCCTTGTTGCCTCCATCCTGCGCAGCACACGACCACTGAGGAGCTGCAGGAGAAAAAAAACACCACAAATGGTTACAACCCTGGAAAATCCTGGTCCTTCCCAAAAACACAGGGGAGAACTGATGCTGTGATGGTAAGAGCCTGCTCCTGATCAGTTAAACCCTGGCTGTGGGCTGCTGCGCCCCTGTGCGGCAAGGAGACCTGTGGGTTCATCCTCTGTTGTGCTGGGAGCACAGATCTGCTCAGGGACTCCTTCAGGCACTGGCCCAAGGTGCCCCACCAGCCAGCCAAGGCAATGCCGGGACTGAGGATAGGATCAGTTCCTCCCGTTAATCAGGAGCAACGAAACAACAGAAATTGCATTTGCAACCATTACTGTAAAAAAAGAAAATCCCAAAGACCCCCAAAAGCTAGAGAAAAAGGGAAGGTTTTAAATTTCCCAGGGGAAAATTAACTGTCCTGCCCTCAAGGGTCTGGAAAAGCAGCCTGCCCCCAGGATGGGATGGTGCCTGCAGCCAGACACCCAGCTTGTCTCCCCTTGGCGCTGGACCTCCCTGCTCAGGAGGATGTTGTGTCTGGCAGTGCCGGCCAATGTCCACACGCTGCTCTTCTCTGCCTGCCTACACTCTGCTGCCTGCATGTACCCCCTGTCTGCACGCACCCCCACGTACGAGCTGGGCGATGGCAACTGCAGGACGTGTCCCTGAACCCTTGGGTGTCCTGGAGTGCCACCACCTCTGGGAATTGCCATGCACAGACAGTATCATCACCATCACCTTTAGGAATTGCCACACACAGGATCATCAGCCAAAGTGGTTTTGGCACAAACTTGACCCTGGCCAGGACTGGGATGGGGTCTCAGATCCAGCAGAGGCTCAGGCAGGGACATCATGCGGGGATAGGATGTGTGGGGATTAAGCAGGGACACCTCACCCACACTGTTTGATGACCACCCCAAGCGAATGGCTGGGCTCACAGTGCTGTGACCCACATGAGGAGAACATGCTCCCCACACCATGACACTGCTGGGATACCCGGGTGGGGGAAGTCTGCTTATCCCTGGGGTGACCCCCACCCTCTGGTCCCTGCTGGCAATGGGAGTGATGCTGGAGGGTTATAAATGGTCCAAGCGGATGCTGCAGTCGAGGAAAACTTCACCGGGGCTGGTCCGAGGAAGCAGCCTGGAATGCATTCTGCTTTTTCTTTTTTTTTTTTTTCCCTTCCCCTTTTCCTCTTTATATGTAACAAATGCAGAAGAGGAGGAGGAGACAGCAAGGAAGTATTCGCTCAAAACCCATTGCAGTCACAGGACCGTGTCTGGCTGCCAGACTGCCTTGTCCTGGGGCCGGGGAGGGAGCTGCCAGCAGCTCCCCAGCCAAACGCGGGTACTGGGGAGGCTGGACGCAGCTCCCACTGTCAGGCCCATGGCGGGGGCACCCGAACAGCCGAGCTGGAAGCATCACGTCCCCCTTTTCACGATGGACAGTGAAAAATTGGAAAGGAGGCAGAAGAGAACCACAAAAATGATTCAAGGCCTGGAAAAAATGCCTTGCAGCCGGAGCCCAAAATAGCTCCGTCTATTCAGCCCACTGAAGCAGTCGCGCGATGCTGCAATGGCAGCCCGCACACACCCCCTGCATGGGGACCGTGGGGCTTGAGCGGGGGGCTCTGCTCTGGCCAAGCATGCAAGGGGATGCATGGCGTTAATGGCAAAGGGGGGGTCAACCACCAAACCCCACCCCTGAGGACTGGGTGGGCAGGAGATGAGGTTCTCTGCAAGATACTTCAGGCTGCCCTCCCCAAAAACCCCCACCAGCTGTGCCGGGGTGCTTGGACACAGGCGCGAAGGGTCTGCAGACCCCCCCCCAGCACAGCCAAAGCTCCTGCTGTCCTACCCAGCGTTGCTTTCACTGCTCCACCCTTCAGAAATTCATTGTTTGGTGGTGTTTAAATGAAGCCGTCTCAGGTTTGCCAGGTGAAGG